CAAAACCAAGTGCCCCACTTAGGGGTTTAGGGGTTTAGGGTTTAGGGGTTTAGGGGTTTAGGGGTTTAGGGGTTTAGGGTTTAGGGTTTAGGGCTTTAGGGGTTTAGGGTTTAGGGGCTTTGGGTTTTGGGTTTAGGGTTTAGGGTTAGGGTTAAGGGTTTAGGGTTTAGGGCTAGCGTTTAGGGTTTAGGGTTTAGGGGCTTTGGGTTTAGGGTTTAGGGTTAGGGTTAAGGGTTTAGGTTTTAGGGCTAACGTTTAGGGTTTAGGGTTTGGGTTAAGCGTTAAGGGTTTAGGGTTTAGGGCTAGCGTTGAGGGGTTAGGGTTTAGGGTCTAGGGTTTAGGGCTAGCGTTTAGGGTTTAGGGGGTGTAGGCCGGTATACCCGAATCAAAACCTAACCCCTAAACCCCTAAACCCCTAAAGCCCTAAACCCCTAACCCCTAAACCCCTAAACCCCTAAACCCCTAAACCCCTAAAGCCCTAAATCCCTAACCCCTAAAACCCTAAACCCCTTTTCCCTCAGCATGAGAATCTCTAGCTTGGACCTTGGACCCCTTCTTCTCAAGAACCCACACCGGTTTAGGGTTTAGGGTGTAGGGACACATCTGAGAAAAAAGCAAGAAAAGTCCGATCCTAAATCCTAAACCTTAAAACCTTTTTAATTTCCTTAGTTGTGTTTATAAGGGTGCCTTTTATATAAATAGTTTTCCAAAGGGCTTAAAGGCCAAGCCTAAACCCTAAACCCTAAACCCTAAACCCCCAACCCTAATCAATCAGATCATCAACCTGGAGACGATCTTCAGCCGTCCAGCGCAGGAGGGGTTTTGGCGCTTGGGGCTTTGGAGTTAAGGGCTTTGGGTTTAGGGCTTGGGGCTTTGGAGTTTAGGGCTTTGGGATCTCAGCGTTTGTTTTTGTCTTTTCAGGCTTTAGGATTTTACCAACTTGGGGGTTGAATTCGGGTTTCAGTCCGGCGCCGGGTGCCATTTGATCTGCGTCCGGACTGTGTGGGTGGGCTGGCCTGTTGGGTTTAGGGCTTAGCACAGTATTCATATGGCTTCACTGAGATCCAGGCACAGTTTAGGGTTTAGGGTTTATGCCTCTTGTTTGGTACTCTACGTGTCCTTCCTTCCAGGGGTTTTCAGAAACAGCCATGCCGTGCTGCTGCACATGGAAGCGGAGGTTTGAACATTTACTTCGATTCTAAGCTGGAAGGGGGTTACCATCAACCCTAAACCCTGAACCCTATCAATGGCCTCAAGAGGTGATAACTTACCTTCATTCCAGCTTCTTAGTTTTCGAGGGACTTTGGAACTTGGCAAAGTTCGTTAAGGGAGTGGGTCTAGGGTTTAGGGTTCAGGATTTTCAAGGACTTTGGAGCTTGGCAAAGTTCGATAAGGGAGTGGGTCTAGGGTTTAGGGTTCAGGGTTTTCAAGGTTGTTACGGTTTTCGGGGTTACAGAGTTTCACGGCTTAGGATTATTACAATCCCTAAACCATAAACCATAGAAAGTTGAAGTGGGTACAGGTTCAGGGCTGGGGATTTGAGCTCTAGCCTGCAGGCAGAGTGAGAACCTGGGTGGCAGAATCTGGGTTTAGTATTTGTTTAGGGTTTAGGGTTTGCACAGGTTTAGGGGTTTAGGGGTTCAGTGTTTGGGTTTGGGGTTTGTGCTGGTTGAGGGATTTAGGGTTACGGGTTTAGTATTTGGGCTTTCCGGTTGACCGCGGAGCCATAATTTAGGGTTTAGGCTTTAGGGTTTAGCTGATAGGTGGCCTTTGTCCTTGTCGGTTGAATTCATCCTAGCATGCTGACCCTAAACCCTAAACCCCTAAACCTTAAACCCTTAATTAACCCCTAAACCCTAAACCCCTAAACCCCTAAACCCTAAACCAAGCTAAGCCCGAAGGCCCTCAACCCTACAGCTAAGCCAGGGCCACGGTTTAGGGTTTAGGCTTTAGGGTTTAGGGTTTAGGGTCTAGGGTCTAGGGTTTAGGGTTTAGGGTCTAGGATTTAGGGTTTAGGCTTTAGGCTTTAGGGTTTAGGGGTTAGGGATGATAAACCAGGACTGCCCAGTCCCGGTGGCCGTGGTCTTTGTGTACTTCTTCCTGGACACAGTCACTGGTGCTCTGACCTACCAGTTCGAAGAGGACATTCGGGGATTAGGGTTTCAGGCTTTAGGGTTTAGATCCTTGAACCATATAGGGTTTAGGATCTAGTGTTTGGGGTTGAGGGTCGAGGGTTCGATCAGCAGAGTCTTAGAAGTAGAGCGGGTAAGCTGAGACCTTTCTCCGATACTATAACCCCTCTATGAAACCAAACGTTAAATCCCAACGTTGACCTTTGGTTCCCCTCGGATACTGGGAAACAAAGCATTCGGGAGGGTTTAATTAGAGCTTTAGGAATTTAGAGTTGAGGCTTAGGTATTTGATTTTGGTGAACTTCTGGTAAGATGTAGGCTGGAAAGTGGGATTTGGGTAGGTGGACACGGGCCTGAGATGAGCGAACTGGTCATGGCGCAGCTGGACTCGTGCATGTCCCGTGGCTTCTGACACAAGAAGGACCTTCCTTCTAGATCCTCACAAGAGCAAGACCCAGAGTACAAGAAGGGCCGCTATCCTAAACCTCAGAATCCTGAATCCATAGCCCGTGAATTGAGACACACTCCGCACCGCAAACAGGTATTTCAAGATCCGACAGCAGGTGGGACGCTTCTAGATTAGAGGATAGAAATGACAGATGTGCACGTTGAAAGGCACTCTGATTCAGAAACAGCCTAAACATGAACTCGGGACCCCTTCTCTAAACCCTAAATCCTAAACCCTAAACCCTAAACGATTAGCATGCTGCTTGGCTATATTCCGCCATGGTGTCTTGTGGCGTGCGATGGGCGCGCTGAAGCTTGCCTGTCGACTGCACATTCAACCAGTCTTTTAGGGTTTAGGGATTAGGGTTTAGCGGTTAGGGTTTAGGGTCTAGGGTTTAGGGCTTTGCCTTTGCCTTTAAGACATGGGAACAGATGGGTCAAATAACTCGTGGTATCATTCCTGCACGTTCTCATTTCTAAACCCAAACCCTAAAAGCCATGACCATCACCCAGTTAGCCCATGACCCCTTGATTAGGAATATTGAAATATGAAGTCCTCTAGGATCTTATATATTATATAGATCAAGCCCTCTAGGAGTAGAAAAATATAAATATAAATATATATATATATGTTTTTTGTATATACATATATATATATATATACTATACTCAAGCCCATCTCTGGACGGCCGAGGTTCCTCTGCTGGCCCTTCAAGCACAGGTGGCAGCTCGTGATGGCCGCTGGGCTCTCTTGCTGACCCTGAACCCTTAAAACCTAAAAACCTAAAACCCTAAAGCTCTAAACCCTTAAACCCCAAAACCCTACAGCCCTAAACCACTAAACCCTAAGCCCTCACGGATTTCTCCGGCAGACACGACATCGGGTCATCGGGTTAGCAATGCGGGTTTGGAGAAGACACCCCTATGATACATGGAGACCTACTCCTTCACGCATTTTTTGAACCCTAAGGCCCAGCAAAACTCTCATCCAACCCCCAAGTGTAATACGACCACTAGGTGCTAATGGTTTTCCCTAAATAGTCCCCGTTTCATTATGGTAGAACTCAGAATGTACCCTTTTCTAGTAGAATGTACACCTAAACCATTACTGTAATTATTATGTCCCCTATCAGAAGTCTTCCAGCCCAAGTCTGAGGCGAGAGCTCCGAGGAGGAGCGGTGGTTCAGCTGCAGCGCAGAAGCCTGGCATCTCGATCTCACGAGAGTTCTTGTAAGGCTTCTTTGAAAGGCTCTGTTCTTGGTGTTCTTCTGGTTGGCCCTTAGGACTTTAGCTTTTGGGGTTTCTAGATGAACCATAATAAGGAGGCTAAAAGTTCAACTTTTTGGAGGGGTTCAGAAGTCAGCCAAGTTTTAATCACCAGCCCCAGCAGCAAAAACCACCGTAGGAGCAAAAACAAAAACAGAAGCAAAGCCAAATAAGTATACTGCAAGATATTTTGTAGATATGATATGACAAACCATGTGCGATGGTGTAAAAGGCTCATCATCGTTGAACCCTGAACCAAAATCCAAACCCTTGCATTAACACTGGAAACCCTCGAAAAGCTTAAATGCTAACCCACCCTAAACTTTGAACCTTAAGCCGTCCGAAACTTTACACCCTAAACCAAGTTTAAACCCCTAATCATCCAAAGACTGCAAATTTTCAACCATCCTAAGCTGTAAACCTTAAGCCATCATAGTAACGATACAAGACCCAGAGCCAAACCCTAAACTCTAGACCCTAAACCCCTGAACCCTAAACCCTAAACCCTAAACCCCTAAACCCCTAAACTCCTAAACCCTAAACCCTAGACCCTAGCCGCATGCAAGGTTTGATGAGCCATCCCAGAGTGTGCGCGTGTCGCTGTGGGTTCGCGGCCGCCTCCAAGCTGCAATCGAGTCTCACGGTTTAAGGTTTAGGGTTTAGGGTTTAGGGGTTTAGCGTTTAGGGTTTAGGGTTTAGGGTTAATTACTCAGTTCCCCAATACCCAACCTTTAATATTTTTGGGAGCTTAGTAGCAATCGGAAAGTCTAACCTTCTGCTTCTGTGGCTTATTGGGGAAGTAAGTTTAAGGTTTACAGCTTGGGGTTTCGGTTCGGGGTTTAAGGTGTTAGAGTTTAGCGTTTCAGGGTTTGGGGTTATAAGGTTTGGGCTTTCTAAGGTTAACCCTAAATCTTCAAACGTTTCCCTAAGCTTTGAACCCTACACCCTACCCTTCGCCGCAAGTCTAGAACAAGGCCCTTCAAAAAAAAAACGTACCCTAAACCCTGAGCGCTAAAACAAACGTTTAAACCCCAAAGCCCTCAACCCTCAACCCGAAGCTTACCTTGCAAGTCCCTAAACCCTAAACCCTAAACCCTAAACCCTAAGGTCAGGCACAGCGCTTCGTGTCCCGCGGGTCCAATCACTGCCAGCTCCTGGCGCGGACCCTCACAGGCAAAGAGAACTGCAAGGCTCCCCGGAGGGTTTAGGGTTTAGGGTTTAGGGTTTAGGGTTTAGGGTGGACATATATGGGAGTTTCCGAAAATTGGGGGTACCTTATTTTGGGGTCCTCATAATAGGGATCCTACTATTTAGGGTACTATACTAGGGTCCCCTATTTTCGGAAACCCCCGTTTTGTGTTCTGGCCTTTCGTTGCAGGGCCTGGGGGCTTAACATAGGGGCCTTAATGATAAGGGTTTGGAGTATATTACGCTATACTTAGAAGAAGGAACCCCCAAAGCCCTATTCTGATTGTTAAGGCCCGTCCAGTAGGTCCAAAAAGTATCTGTATATTACAGTATATTATGGGTTTGCAGAGTTTTGTCGGATTCTGCAAGGCATGCACGATCTCAGAGTGAAGGTTGTCTGAATCCATCTTGTTGGAGTCCCTGCGCAATGAGTACGTATTACAGTATCAGTAAGGGCACCATTAACATGCAGACCCCCAAAATGGGATACACAATCTGATCCTGCCAGCCAAAACAAGGTTTTGTGGTATCTCATAGTATAGCGATACAGGGATTCTAACGCAGACCCCTTGCACTAGAGGGATTCTTATGGGAGCTTGAAATACCCCAACCCCTAAACCCCTAAACCCAAAGGCATGTCGCTGGTTCGACACTTCTGGCCCTGGAGCATTGTCCAGAACCGGGTTCGGCCAAGTGGCGACGAACATCCCAGCGGAAGCTTGTGCCTTCGCCAACCGTTACTCGATGTTCTTCTGGTTGGCTCTTAGGACTTTAAATT